TCGTGAATACAAGGCACACAGGCATGGCAGGGCCAAGGCAACAGGCATCCGAGTTCACAAAATCATCATGTACTGCACTGCTACATCAGGAATCTCGTGACAATACACGCTGCTGCTTACGTTCTCTGACTCGACCAGCAATTCGAATATCTTAAGAAACAGCGTGTTCCTACTACTGGAACGGGGGATCGAGTCTAGAGCAATCTCTAGGTGATGAATACATCACATCTCGGATCTATGTGCGCCTTCCGTCGCCTCTCTCCTTCAAACGACCCCGATTTCGCCTACAAGCCACGCGGCATTCACCAGGCTGCATGCGACGGGTAAGATTTCTCTTGCCTCTCTACCTCATCCATGCATTCACGTAGTGTCATTCAATTCCGTCTGCAGACTACGAGGCATTTTCCGCCAGGTTGGTTGCGACGGCTGCAGCCGGGCATTCAGTAGGAGGCTCTCGAGTGCCTTGTCCCACGTGCTCTTTGAGTATCACATCATGAGCGAGAGCGGCGAAACTATAAAGGGGCGGCAGCTGCCACTTCCTGCCTCATCGCATCCTCATATTTCACTCGATTTAACTTTATCTCTCTAGTTCCTTTTGGTAGAATTGATTGCCATGGCACGAGCCAAAAACACTCTTGGGGTTGACACGCCAGGCGTCGAAAGCCCTAACGATGTCCCCTCTGAGCACCATGATCGCCCAGTTCATGACCCTGAAGCAACGCCGAAGTCAACAGCTTTCCCTTTGGACGAAAGGAAAGACGCAATTGGAACTGGTAGTTCACTGGTAACAGCAGATACCAAGACACAGCTAATCAAAGTACGCAGAAACTTTGCGAACAACCGCTGGTAGCACCGAGACCAGTAGTAGTATCACTACCGGTAGATCCAATCGTGCTGCGGATCACGAGCAAGCGCACGCTGTAGACCGTCACGGTTCGCTTCCCTCGCGGCAGATCAGCCCTCTGCCCTTGGCCGGCGCCGGAGCTAGTGTCGCTGAGCTGGCAACGGAAGCACTTGATGCTGTAGGAGTCCCCGACGCACAAGATATCCCGCAGTCTTCGATAGCGGGCCACAACGCTGCGCAATCCACAGTCGTCATTTCTGATTCAGACGATAAAATTCAAGACCAAGTCGGTCAGGGCAGCGCAGATACAGAACCTGCCAGGCAAAGGCAACGCGGAACAAGGCAGCATGGCCTACAGAAGGGGCGGCCTCAGAAAATACACAGTTCGAAGCAAGAGTCTAACAACGAGGATCCAAAAGCACATGCCGACGCTGACGTTGCCCGATTCGACCAAGTCAGTATTCAACAGAGTGCCAGGGTAGCTGTGCCGCAGGCTGCTACAGCACCGCGGACATTTGCGGAAGGAAAACGGAAATCCATGGTTGGCAACACAGCAACCAAAAAGCGTAAAAAGGTTTCGGACCCATCGACCCAAGACGTACGGTATGGCAAACGGGCATTCGAAACTGCAACGGGAAGCCGAAGTACAGGAGCAGTGCAGAGCAAAGGAATCCACATGCGGCGTGTTGACGTGGCCTTCCGCGAAAGTTCAATTGAGGCTGAGAGACGCGATCAAAGTGGCGACGATCTGCACATTGCCTCACCAGACAGTTTTCGGCATCATCCAACTCACCGCGACTGCGACAATGGCACCGCACAGAAAAGGGCTACTCCGTGTACCACAATCGGCGCAAATGGATCTTACAATGTGTATCGAAATGATGCCGACGAGATATCCGGTGAAACACAAGAAGTAGAAGTGCCAACTCCAAAGAACAGAAGAAGCACCACTGTGACAGAAACATCTCGATTTGTGTTATCGAACGCAAATCTTCAAATTATAACTCCAGATGGAGATGGGTCTGTGAAAGTTGAGATTGAAGGCCACTGGAATATTAAATTCGTTGACAAGTCAGTGCCTTTTCCGTCGAGAGGTAGCCCGTCTACAATATGGGTTTCACCGATGCGCCCGCTACACCCTTGAGAAGCAGCCAGCGGAGACGCCAATTATCTATGTTAGGGGTCAATTGTGCGCAGGCTCGAGCCCCGCGGACGGTCATCGAAAGATCTTGAGGTTTACTAATTGATGAGAGCTTTTAATCTGTACGGCTCACATTCGCATAGCTACTTACAAATGCCAAACTTGCTTTCTCTATCTACTTTTGCTGTCTTTATTATGGCGCTCACCATGCAGCGGCAGGCAAATCGCGACAATATTCGGTTCTCGGTATATCGTTTTGTGCCTTTACATCGCTTCTCACCCATATTCACTCGAATTGATCTTCTTCTGCTTCCTTGGGAGAAACCGGCACCGCAGCACCACCCCCCACCCCCAAACAAAAAAAATCCGGAGTTGTTGTTGTCGTCGTCTAACCCTAAGTTCTTTCGCTATTGTGTTTGTCTAAACCATTTCCCATCGTTCTCTACTGCCGTGGTAGTCCCTGTTCTGCTGAATATAGCACATGATCCACGCAACGCTGGACAAACGATCTGGGATCTGAGCGGCATATTCACGCGCGAGACGCTCTATTGTCGGAGCCTCGTCAGCCAAGAAGTACTTGAACAAGATCATTGGCAGGCAGGGGACGGAATCGGGCTTGCCGACGTTGCGTTCAATGTAGAAACACGGCTAGCTAGCGCTCCCGGAGAAGGTGGTGGCGACTCGGCGAACTCGGTAGCAAGCATGTTGCGGCGTCTGGTCAGCGGCGACAAAATTGGCAATTTAAACGGTCGATCATGGTCTCGTCAAAATCGCTCCGGCTCATCTTGGTCATTGGTGCTTGCTGGCTGGCGGTAGCGGGCACGCCTGGTTGGCGCAGAGAACTTGAAGGAGCAGGCGAGCCAGTTTGCCCACCAGAGACTCGAGACCGTAAGTCAGCAGGCGCAGCACAATGAGGGTACTTGCCGCCACCAGGGCTCTCTGTGCTAGAAAACTGTCGCCGCCTTTCACCCTCCTCGGCCGTAGTATAACGGCTTGAGCCTGTGTTCCACTTGATCCAGGTTCCCAGACTGCAGATCTGGTGTCCAAGCCAATGCAGACGTTGGCGTCGCTTGTCGCCCAAGGAGGGCGGCTCAAACATCTTTTCAGCATCTTCAAGCTTCTCGTTAGAAAACCAATCGGCAGGGAAGTAGCCTTTTGAAAATGCAAACCCTCGCAAAGCATAGTCTTCTGGAAGTGGGCACAAAGGCTCGTTGCGCAGCGGTCGCGGGAAGGATTCATTTGCCATCCTTGGTTTTGATAACAGTGCCGGAAAA